AACCTCCGAAAATGTCAGAAATAAATTTCATTTCTTTATAAGTTACCCAGTTTCGGGTATTCTTGTTGTAAGCAACAGAAAGCAAACTAATATGCTGGTATTGCATGCATGCTGGACAGGTGCACACACGCACATGCATGCACACACACAAAACCGTCCTCATACCTCCTCTCAAATCCTAACCTTCCTTCCATAACATGCTGTGTTATCTATTCGATTGTTCACATTATCCACTAAATTGTGAGTCCTTAAAGGGTCTTATTCATTTTTGTATCTCCGATACCCAGCATACAAAAAGTATTTAATAAATATCTGAGGAAAGGAAAGAAGGAAGAAGGCAGGTTTGCCTATTTAATCATATCAACATTATTATAATTCTCCAGAGATAATAACAAAAGCGTCCAAAAAAGTTATTAAGAGTTCAATAACAAGAGTTCATGTCATTTATTTTACCATTTTTTAAATATTTCATTTGTAATTTATAATTTTTAATGAAGATGCTTCTAGACCAACCACAATATTACATACATAAAGGGTTAAAATTTCCAATAAGGAAGAATCTCAATAGGAATCAAATGGTCAAAACTACATAAATGTTCCATTCCCTGATAATTTTAATAGCTATAGAACAAAGGATGCCACCACTAGTACACTAAAGTTAACTATACATATATGGTGAGTAATTTCTAGAATGTATCCTGGGCTACAAAAGTATCCCGCAAGGGTTAAGTTAGGCTATTCTTCTGCCTACAGGCCACGACCATCCAACCCTTCAGAATTAGTTCAGGCAGGAAAAACTAAACATAAGGGAACTATTAACTGGCCCAGTCATTTATTCATGGTTGTGGACAGGACATAAACAGGTACTTGTGCAGCTACAAAGGCTTGTCCTACACAGGATCTCCAGCCAAAGGGTTGAGTGAGAGCTGAAATCCAGCCTGCATTCCACTTACCAAACTGTGCACCTGGTGCAGGGATGTGTTGGCCCAAAGAAAAGGATGCCCATTTCTAACTGTCACCAAGGCCCTACCCACAGACCAAGCCAGGTACCATGTACTGTAGAGAGGATGCCTTTTCTAATTTACAGAGAGGTACTGTACAGGTCAATAGAAGCCCTGACCAGTTAAGTTTTATTTCAAGAAATCAGTTTAAAGATGTACATGAACGGAGGAAAAACAAGAAATAGAATTATTAAACGGTGGCTGGAAGCAGAGAAAAAGCATGATAATTGTATAGTAGGTGACATGTAATACAGAACTAAACGGGGAAGGTGGTGGCTTGCATGTGAGAATAAAGTGAGCAAAGAAAGATGCCACAAATTTTATCCAGAAGGGGAGCAAAGTAGGTGAAAGTTAACAGAGAATAAAGGAGAGAGCAGAAAGCAAAGCAAGAGATCAACAGAATGAAAAAGCCAAGCAAATTTCTGCAAATAAAGCTTTGATTTTTGTCTTTGCTTCATTTCAATTCTTTGGTGGTCTTTTGGTTTTGGTTTTGGGGTTTTTTTTTTCTCTTGCAGGCCTCTAAAGAAGAAAATGCTGGATAAGCTGCAGTTTAAAATATTGGAAACTTGAGAATTAAAAGGTAATGTACCTCTCCGTGAATCCCAGCTTGGCAGTCATAGTAACACTGGCAAACGGCCGTGTAAAGAGTGGCTCTCCATGTCAGGTACCTGACGGACAGCAGCGGGACCGAGGATTCCATACAGATGCTGGCCCACAGGAGATATTCTAAGGCCTGAGACACAAAGGGCACACTGAGTTGATTTTCATTTTAAGCTAATAATGATGATTGTATTTGATATCATCAAATTATAAGTTGTAAGCGCAAGTTGCTGACTACCTAAACCAAAAATACCATAAACAATGAGTCAAAAAAAGAAAAACCCAAGCATTTAAAAAGTACAAGAATAATTTAGAGAACTCAAAATCTCAATATTTGATATCATCAAATTATAAGTTGTAAGCGCAAGTTGCTGACTACCTAAACCAAAAATACCATAAACAATGAGTCAAAAAAAAAAAAAAAGAAAAACCCAAGCATTTAAAAAGTACAAGAATAATTTAGAGAACTCAAAATCTCAAAATAGCCATTTTAGAATGTCTTCCTTCTTAGCTCCTGAAGCCTTCCAGCTAATTTTTATTAATACGTATCAAGTGCCAATGGTAGTCTCAGAACTAAATCCAAGAATATAATCATTATTAGTTGGCCTGGAACCAGTGTATTATTCTGAAAATAAACGGGCATCGGAAGGTAGGAAAAAATGGAAAAGGGTTACAGCCTGGGGCCTGTGATGCGTAGTAGAAACCATCCAAGATTGGAATTAAATAAAACTGGGTTTCAGTCCCATTTTTACCACTTAGTGGTGGCTGTATCATTCTACCTCTCCAGACTTCAATTTTCTCATTTATAAATGGGTATTTTATCACATCACAGCAGTGCTGCTATGAAGAAAGAGACAATGCACATGACCTGCTAGGACAGTGTCTGGCACACTGTAAGCACTCCATAAATGGTGCTATTACCAGTGTAATTATTCCCAAAGTAAAATTTGAAACAAAACAGTAGAGAAAAGATCACCACTGATATTGGTCTGTCTGCAGGAATATATATAATGGCCTCTTGTGCTATTCTTGCTAAATAACTTTTCTCCTCAAATCTACTGACAATTCTCTTTTGACATATTCTTCCCATAAACCCTATACTGGGAAACACTATTTGAATATATGTATGTATGTATGTATATATGTATGTATGTATGTATGTATGTATATATCTCCTGCCATTAACTTTTTCAATCTTTATGCTTTCTTCAAAAATATCCCAAAAGCTCAAAGGGTAATTAGATTATATTGCCTTTTACTTGATTTAATATAAGAAGAGGAGACTTGGTCTGTGCTCCACATATTATTATAAGGAATATTAGTGGAGTGAAAATAAGAATCTGTGACTTAAATATCTCAGAATCTCACATTCTCAATTTCATCCATGGATATATCAGTTTTTTGGGGGGTTTTTTTGTCTTTTTTCGTGACCGGCAACGGATCGCAACCCTCAGTGTCGCACCCGTACCAGACCAGGACCGGCAACGGGATCGCAACCCTCGGTGTTGCACCCGCACCTCGCTCAGCCAGTGAGCGGCCGGTCTGTATGTGGGATCCGA